CACACACCCAAAATCCCAACAGGAGGAGAAATGCAAAAGGGACTGCAGTGGGACTGGTCCCCATGGGGGGTAGGGAGGTGCTTTCTCCCTTGGCCTATCTATTTCTCTCTGAAAAGTACACATGCCCTCTGACAAAAGCAAACAAACAAAAAGAAAAAAAAAAAAAACTTAAAAATCATTCTTAGTTTCTAGTGAGCATACAAAAATAGGTGATGGGCTGGATTTGGCTTCTGTGTTGTAGTTTGCTAACCCCTACTGTGGTAAACTGTAGTTTTATATTTAGTACTTGCTGCTGTGTGGTTCTTAATATGTGCCTCTTCAGCACTTAGAAGAGCATTCTATAAAAGGTTGTTTCTTCTAGCTGCTAGATTAGAATAGCTGAATATTTGAAAACAGACCAATTTCTTACATTTATCCTCCCTTGTTGTGGGCATCAGTTTTCTTTCTTTCCTGTCTAGAAAGAAACAAACCAACCAAAGGTCTTCCAACACCCCTATTTCCATCCAAAACGCTAGTGGAACTGGGGGAAAACCCCCCCAAAACCAAGGTAGTCATGCACACCATAAAGCTCCCAAACAGGACACAAGTAGGGATATACAGGCTTACAAAAGTATGACAATAGCAAAGATGACTTGCAGAAGAAATCAAAGAGGGAATTTTCTCCTCTTTAAGTCAAATCTGGCTAGACTCCTAAAGTGAGCGGTCATCTGTCCATTACTTAAGAAAAACAAACCAAAAAAAGGAACTGATTTTAGTATTCTAATTACATGACATTATCCTTTCTGTCTTCAAAAGCTGGGTCAAGAACATAACTATAAGGAATGTAACTTTAAATTCTTTAAGAAAAACCTATAAATTGAGAGAACAGTAATAGATAATATCAAAAGCAGAAAGAAATGTTTTGTTCTTTTAAGTGCCTGTCCAACACCCCTTCCTCTGTACAGCCTACATCTGCATGCAACACCAGTTCAACTACAAATTACTATAGGGACAGGCAATTTGTTGTGCTCAACCAGTGGTGGAGAGCCAGACCCCTGAAGCCAGACTGCTCTGTGAACCAGGGCAAGATGCTGAATCGTCTAGTGCCTCCATCTCCACATCTGTGAAATGGGGGTGATAAAAGTGCCTACCTTATAGGGTAATTATGAAGATGAAGAAGGTTGATACATTTAAAGTAACTGAAACAGTGCCTGATATTTGGTAAGTACTCTAGTGTTAGCTGTTACCATTGCTATAGCATTTACGTGCTGTGACAAGTCTTTTAGACACTATTTAAATTTTGTTTACATTGACTTTGTAATGGTTTCTAATGACTAAAGTTCCATAGATTCTTCTGCAGACATACACAGTTTGAGAGAGGAAGAGATATGTGTGTTTGGAGAAATATCACTCAGAGCTTTGGGATATCTGCTTTATTTGGCCGTCGGTCAGGTGTTTTAGGAAATTCTTTTGGGTAAAAATCCCTCCCATTTCTCTGCTTTACACACTTCTGTCCATAGTCATTACTCCATTTGCTGTCTTCTCAAAACAAATACTCGGACTCTCATCACCTTTCTGTTGATATATTCATTTAACAGTAAGAAGCTGAAAACAGATTTAAGCAATATTTTCATTATCTGGATTATGAGGAAAAAAATTAAAACTGTTCACGAGCTCCAGAAAAAATGTAGTACTTCTAGCTCTATGCAATAACAAGGGATCTATAACTACTAAATAGTTTGCATACAAATTATGTATTACTAGTACTTGGATTTAGCATCCCAAACCCATTTTCCAGCAACTCTTACACCCTACTTTTCCCCACACCTCTCTAGGAAAAGCTAAGAAGGACCAACAGAAATCCTGGTCCCTTGAGGCTAAAAAACTAAAATATCAGCATAGGTAATCACCTGCTGCCTCTAGCTGAAGATATTTACAAACTATGGACAGATTAGGCTCTTATCTCACTCAGGTCTTCACTGTCACTTGGCAATCAGTTTAATTATCTCCTGTTGACGTACAAAGTATTTACCTTGACAGCTTTAACAAAGTCGAGTTACTTTTCTTACCCACATATTCCCTACCCTCAACCCTGCCACACATCTCCTCACTCCAGGCACAGCTGCTTTGAACCTGAGAAAGCTTTTGCAAATGACGTGCCTGTTAACCACTGCTAGCTGCTGTCTCCCTCCTTAGCCCTCCGAATTCCTACATATTTACTACTATGTGAGCATGTGCAAGTTACTTGATCTCCTTGTGCCTCTTTCTTTGTCTACAGAATAGAGATAATGATAACACATCCTCACTGGGTTGTCATGGGGAATGACAAATACAGAAAACATGTAGAACAATGTCTTATACAAAGTGCTCAATAAATGGTAGCTACAGGCATCTCAGTCTTGCATGCATTTTGGCTAAGTGAACTGGTTTGTTGGGTTTGATCCTAGTATGTGCAGATCCAACCCACATTCCATCAGGTAAGAGCTTGACTAGATTCAACCTTCCCTTATACAAACGTTTTCAAAGGCCATAAAAACTTCAGGAAAGGGACCAGCAGTTGGGGTTATGGGCCCCCATGTAGTCGGTGGTTCGAGTCCTGGACCTGGTGGCTTAAACTCATGCCAGGCATGTATGCGTATGTGCCCAAGATCCCAAGAGGAGAATGGAGGAGAAGGGATTGTGATATGGCCATCCCCCTGGGGGGCAATTTCTTGCTATCTGTCTCTCTGTCTCTCTTTTTCTCTCTCTTTTTGGTGAGTGCATGCGCCCTATACCAAAAACCAATCCCCCTCCCCAGAAACAAAAAACTTCAGGAAAATTTTATCCAAAATGGGGTGTAAATGCATGGTGCATATTTTTCTAACACAAGGGGACCTCAATAAGTATTTGACCTTGAATAGAGCTTTAAAAACAAAACAAAACCTACTGCCTTAATGTTACCATTACCAATTTTATCTTTTTTCTTTTTTTTTTTTCTCTCCTCTTACATGATTTCTATTATCTGCCTTGGCCTCTATTCAAGAAGTTATAGTAAACTAGTTTCTCTCTGAAAAGTTATTCATATTCAATATAACCCTTTACATTTTCAATACTACCAGGTTACTTTTCTAAAACAACTATAATAATATCACTTACTCTGCTTAAAAGATAAAGTCTAAATAGTTTAGTTGGACATTCAAGTCTCTATGGCATGGCCATAACTTGCCTTTCTAGCCTTGTCCTCCATTCTCCTCCATAAGTGGCCCTCATGGAGTCACTTGCCATTAACAAATCTATGCTCATTCTATTTTATCTAGAATGTCCTTCCACCACCTTCTATTCGTCTTCAGTGCAATTCCCTCCATTACGCCAATGCCCTTTCTCAATAGTCATTGTCTTTAATATTAGGTCATTGGGAAAGTCATGACATATTTTTTCTATGTTTCTTTATGAAAAAATGCAACATGACTTTCCTGGCAACCTAATACATAAGAAGGACCACTGACAGGATATATACAACGATGTGTCATGGCTCCTCAATCTCAGCATTAATGACCTGTTGGGCTGGATAAGTTCTTTGGTACAGAAGGCCATCCTCTGCAGTGCAGGATGTTCAGCAGCACCTCTGGCCTTCACACATTATCAAATATTCTTGTGGGGGGCAGGGCATAGGCAGATTATTCCCGACTGAGAAATACTAATACACTCTAACAAATATATTTTATTTCTCCTGCTAAAAAGTATTTAAATTATATGAGGTCAGGGACTATGACCTTTATTTTAAAATTGGCAATATTACTTAATACAGTAGTTGATAGTTTCAGATAAATTTTAACTTTTAGATAAATATTTGTTCTCTGCTAACCTTCCCAAAGTCACTGGGCAGAAACTCTAACCTATCACCATTTCTAGATCGCATTAAACTTGAAACACCAAATTTCATCCTTGTTAAGTAAAGCTTTTAAAAGACAACACCTTGTATGTTCGATTGGGTTGTCAGAAAAGCCATGATGTATTTTTCTATGCAAAAATATGTGATGACTTTTTCTGATAACCTAGTAATATCCCTATAATTTTCAACTATCAGTTCAAGTTGTACTCCAAAAAAGATGGTTATAGCATTATAAAAGTTAAGTAAATAATGAACTTCTGTATCACATACATAGTAGTATTCTAACTCTGAAGACTTACAGAAGAACAAGAGAAAACCATTTCCTCCTCTTGTCAAACACTATAAAGAATATAGTGTTACTACCTCAGTGGAATGCTTAGAAGTAGTCAAGGCGCAGGTATTTACAGGAGTAAGGTTTCAATCTCAAGTTCCAGATCAGAGTTAAGTTTCCTAAACCAGTGGTTCTAAACTCTTGGTGTACATGAGAATCTTCTTCAGAGTTAAAAAGAACAGATCCCTAGGCTGGCAGGTGGCATGGAGGTTGAGGTAGATGGATCCCACATGGCCAACTACATGGTTCAAGACTTGGAGCTAATGGCTTGAAAAGCATGCCGAGTGCACATGGACGCAAGTCCAAAATCCCAAAAGGAAAATGGAGAAGGAACTGCAGCCTGGCTCCCCCCCACCTCCCGCCGGGGTGAGTTCTCACTCCCCGATCCCCCCACCCTGGCAAGTGTTCATGCCCCATAGCAAAACTGGCGGGGAAGAAAAAAAAAAAATCCCTGGGTCTCCCTCCAAATCAATTAACTTAGAATTAGTGAATGATGAAAATTAAAATTGCTTTAAAATCTCCAGTAGATTCTAGTGTGCAGTCAGGTCTGAAAGCCTCTACTCTAGCCTGGCTCAAAATCTCACGTTCCTTGACAATACAAAAAGCTATTTCTTACAGACTTTAAATCCTCTGGAGTGGCTGGATCTTGTTCTATAACGTGCTGAGGTTGGGTCATATCATATGAATACTTAAGTTCAATGAAAAGACCCGCTATCTTTTTTTTCCTGGGATTAGGCATTACCAGCATTATCAGGAAGCTCATGATAGGGTGGTTCTGAGATTTCTCTCCCCACCACCTCTCAGGATCTAAGCACTCACATTCTTCTTCACTTGGTGAAGTTACATTCAGGTCTGTCGGAAGCGGCTGCTGGCTGGGACTAAGAGTTGGCGTGGTTATCGAGGTATTGTTGTTGTCACTGGTGGTCTCTTCAGAAAACAAATCTGATTGGCTGTTACTTGTACTTAGAGCGGAATCATCATCTGGTTGTTTCTTTTGAAAATCTGAAGAGAAGGAGTGGGAAAAAAAATAAATTAAGTAGTTCACAATCTCTTTGAGTAGAAAAAAACAATGTTAAGTTAAATGCAACAACAGTTATTATAAAGACTAATTTGGGTGATTACAAAACCCATAAAAGTGGGCCAGTCAATGGCATGGTAGTTAGGGCAGCTTGATCCCACATGGTCAACTGCGCTGCTTTGAGTCCTGGGCTGGGCAGCTTGGAAAACATACCAGGCACATGAGCATGTGTGCCCAATATACTGAGAAGAAAATCGGGGAGAAGGGACTGTGGTATGGCCATCTGTCTGGGTGTTGCTTTCTCACCCCTCACTCTCATGTCCCCTATAGCTAATTAAAGGGAAGAAAAAGAAAGACATGAAAGCAAAACAGTGGTCAGAAACACAAAAGATTGGTGAGAGGTGACCTGGGGTTAAAGTTTTCCAAGGTCCTTTTACTATTCAGAAGAATGACACACATACAAATTTTAACATTAAACTTTGCAAAGTCAAAAATGCATGTTGAAAAAAAAAATTTTTGGAGAGGTTTTTGCTATTGGGCATGTGCAATCACCAGAAAGACAGAGAGAGACAGAGAGAGATAGAAAGCCAGAAATCACCCTCCAGCGGGGTTGGCCACACCATAATCCCTTCTCCTCCATTCTCCTCTCGGGATCTTGGGCACGCACGCACATGCACCCAGCATGAGTTTAAGCCACCAGGTCTGGGACTCGAACCGTGTTCGACTACATGGAGTTCAGTGACATAGCCATCACACTAATAGCTGGTCCCTATGCATGTTAAAATTTTAAGGATAATTAACAAAATAGAAGCCAGAATGAAGAAAAAACTGGTTCAACTTAGTAGAGGGTAAGTCAGAAGGAACATGGCAGCACAGTAAATAGCAGAGTAAACAGAAAACACATAATATGATGATATTTAAGTGTTAAGACTGATAAATAAGTGTAAATATATCAGTACGGTATTACGTGGCAGTAGATAAAATATACCAGGCAAATATACATGAATAGAAAGCCAGTACAGCTAGAATACTATCATAAAATGTATACTTCAGGCTAAAAGCATTATCAGAGATCAAGAGGATCATTATATATTAGTAAAAGAAATAGTTCATCAAAACCTCAAAATATGCAAAGTGAAAATGGCTAAATTTATGGGAAAGTGACAATTTTTCTCTTAAGGGGAAGATTTTAATATACCAATCCCATACAAAATCATTAGTAAAATTAGAGAAGATTAATAAGCACTCATGGGCCTAACTATCCAACAATTAGAAAATGAGTTCTTTTTTAAAAAATTTATTATTATTATAATCTTGTTTATATTACATTGAATCACATATAACTTTACAGTATATTACATTTCTTTTTCGAGAAGGAATACCATTCATATCAGTCAATACAAAGACATTAAAATCCCCATCATCATCATCCAATAGCTTTTCATTTTTTTCCAGATGGTTATTACTATTATTCCAATTATTTTTTAAACATTCAATCACTATTTATCATTTTGCTTATAAAAAGACTACCCAACATGAAATACTTCTGACCAGTCCAGTTGAGAATACAACACATGTCATCAACAGGTAATAAACCATATCTGAATCCCACTAACGTCATGCTTCTCTATTTGTTCTCTTACTATCCTTCTCCATAGAAAATGAGTTATTTTCAAACACGTGTGGAATATTTATAAAACCTTGCAAACTTTGACCACACGGCTCATAGTATGATATAAAGCATATACGAATATAAAGCAAAAGTCTTAGCCTAGCCACTGTGGTAGAACAGTAGTACAACTGCCTGCAAGGCTGGAAGCCATATGCCGACCACAGGTTTAGAACCCCAGATTGTCTTGAAAGCATACCAGGCATGCATGCATGGGTAACCAGGATTCTTACAAGCTAGAAGGCTACAAAAGTGGGGCCAAAGGGACCAGTAAGAGGTCTGGTGGTTAAGGCACTGGACTTCCACATGGCTAACCATGGTTCAAGTCCCGAGCCTGGTACCCTGAAAATCACTCTAGGCCTGTGTGCATGCATGCCCAAAATCCTGAGGGGAGAAAGGAGAAGTGATTACGGTGTGGCCATACCCCTTGGGGGTGATTTCTCACTTTCTCTCTCACTGTCTGTCTGGCTGTCTCTTTCTCTCCCTCCCTCTCTCTCTTGGGAATGCAGGTGCTCTATAGCAATAATAAAAACAAAACGCTTTATGGGGCTGGCAGATGGCATAGAGGTTAAGACAGCTGGATAATACACAGCCAACTCCATGTTTCGAGTCCCAGACCCAGCAGCTTGAGAATTACTCCAGGTACATGTGTGTACGTACCCAAAATCCTAAGAGGACAATGGAGAAGGGACTGCAGTGTGGCAAGAACGCTGAGGGGTGATATCTTACTTTCCCTCTCTCCTTCTCTCGGTCTAGAGAAAACATATGAGCCCCACAGCAAACACTAAACAAAAACACTTTAGGGTCAGCCCTATAGCACAGTGGTTTAAGGGAGCCATATCCCACATAGTCAAATGCAGTTTGAATTCTGCCTTGGAAGCTTGAAAAAGAAAACTGGCCAAGCATGCACAGAATCTTGACAGAAAGGAAAAACAAAAAAGGATCTCAGCATAATCACACACTACTGCATGTGGGGGTGAGGTGTGGTCAGTGTGAGAAGGTCCATGATTTCTTTTTCTCCCTTCATCTTTCTCTGGGGAAAGCATGTGCTCTCTGCCCCACCCTCTCCCTACCAACCCAACACTTTAAACTCAAGACCAAACCAGAAATTAGAAATTAGTCATGATTGGGGCCAGTAGGTGGCATGGTGGTTAAAGGGCTGGATTCCCACATGGCCAACCAGGTGACCAGGCCCCAGACGTGGTGGCTTGCTTTCTCACTTCCCCTCTTACTTTTCCTCCACTTTCTCTCTCTCTGGTGAGTTCCTGTATCAAATTTTAAAATAATAACAATAAATAAAGTTAAATAAAAAATTCTAAAAAAAGGTTACTATAATTTTTTCTTTAAAAAAAGAAAATCCCCCCCCCCCGACCCCGGGGCTCATTTCTCACTTTCTATCTCTCTGTCTCTCATGCACCCTAAAGCAAAAAAACAAACAAACAAACAAAAAAAAAACCTCTCCCCCCCAAAAAAAAGAAAATGCTTATAATGAAATGATAAATGAAACTACTATTTCAATATCCAATAAAGGTAAAGATGCACTTACATTACCTACATCCCAGCTATTTCATTCCTAGGTATATGCCCAAGAGAAACTCAACACCACACACTGAAGAAGGCATGTATGAGGATATTATTTACATACTGTGTGCAATAGTAAAACAAAACACTGTAAAGGTCTCAAAAATGTGATATATTCAACAATGAAATAATGTATTGATATATAGTAAAATAAAAACTGGGGACCAGCAGTTAGCATAATGGCTATGTCGCTAGACTCCCATGTAGTTGACTGCTGTTCAAGTCCTGGATCTGGTGGCTTAAACTCACGCCGGGCGCATGTGCATGCATGCCCAAGATCCTTGAGAGGAGAATGGAGGAGGAGGAATTGCAGCATGGCCATCCCTCTTGGGGGGTGATTTCTCGCTTTCTGTCTCAGTCTCTATCTTTGTGGTGAGCGCATGTGCTCCAGAGCAAAAACCTCTTTAAATAATAATAATAATAATAATAAATTAAATAAAAACCCTGACATATACACTAAATTCAGAACAGTGGTTACTTCCTGTGGGTCAGTGAGTAAAGAGAATAGTTCTTTCAAATTTTTTTTCTAGATTTTTTCTTTCTTCCATGAGCAAGACATGAAGGGGGAAAAGAGAGAAAGAGAAAGGAAGATAGAGACAGAGAAAGGAGGAGGGAGGGAGGGAGGGAGAGGGAGAGAGAGGCCAACAGGGTCTTCTGCTATGATCCACCTGGCTTCAGCCAGCCCCAGATACATGTGCACGCACGTGGCTGACGTATTCAGAAAGGTCTCCAGATACAAGGCCAGACCCTTCCTAGGTAGATCGGCACTGCAGCACTGTGTTACCACTGCACCATCATCTGCTCCAGGGCCTTCTGTGCTTTTCTGTAACTTTTTACTTCTTAAGCTATTAGTGGGTATATACAAGTATGATTACTTATTTTCTCTGTATGATTAATTTTTTTAAAACAGTTTCTTCTTCCTTCGAGAGGATATAGAGGTGGGGAGAGGGATGTGCTCTTCACAGAGTCTCACCACACCAAGATACTCTCTAACCTCCGAGCCAGCCAGAATTGGTGTGTGGGGGCACATTTAGGTTGACCCATATTTAGGCTGACCCAGGATTTGAACTTGGTCCTTCCGTGTAGATCCAGTATTGCTTAGCTGCTCCCCACTGCCTGTACCACTGTAGCTATGTGTTGCATTTTTAAAAATCTAATGCTGCTCTATGAAGTACAGGTTATACTTTATTGTATACATTTGGAGAAGTGTAAGAAAACCCTTACAACTCCATATAGCTTTCTCTTCTGAATCACAGAATAGCTGTTGCTACCTTGATCTATAACCTCAGCAAACTCACGGTGTTTTTATGCATTCTGAGCTTAGGAAAGCTAGCATTTATGATGCATCTATCATGTACTGAATTAAATGTTTCAAGAATGTAACTCATTTACGGTAATCCTCAGGAAAACCTTAACAAGGCAGGTGTAAGTAACACCATTACACTGACAAAGAAATTGAGGTTCAGTAATTTGTTCCGAGTTAAAGGACTAGTAAGCAGCTAGGACAACCACAGGATGGACAGTGGTGATCACCGGCCTGGGCCAAGGGAAGGGCTCACCAAGTCAAGCCCCCATTTCCAGCACCCCTGCTGAGTGCGATGAATTTAGCCAATCACTAACCTGCTTCTTTTCTGTGCATTTCTCCTGGCCAGTTTTTTATTCTTTAAAATGTTTTGACATTTTAAAACAGCTCATTATCTTGATGTTATTTGTACACCATCCTCAAGAAAAAGG